AGAATGTTAAGGTAACTGTAATAAATTAAATTTAGCAAATGTTATCTATTATGTATTTAAATTATATTAACAATATTCTATATTTAATAGGGATATAATCCTAATTGTAAATCTGATTAGAATAAAAAATAATGTTAAAATACAAAAAGTGAAATATCAAGAAAAACCATTTTAGATCAGTAACTATCAGATTCAAATTAAATATTTAAGTAATAAGAAACAAAAATCTATAAATTAATTAATAGAGTTTTATCTTATCAGTCTCAGTCTCGATATATATTATTTACTTGGTAATATATTTATTATATAATCAATCCTTGGGCTAAGTTTGTTACAATAATTTATGAATCGATTTGCAGGTTTTCTTTCTCTATTACTTAATAAGACTAGACCAATTCAATTCAGTAGTTTACATTATCCTCCCTCTCTATGCTAATTTTTTTTGACCAAACCAATTTAATATACAAATTCTATTTTTTTGCTCTCCCTCTTTTGAGAAGAGAATGTAATGTAATACCAAATTAAATTGGTCTGACCTAAATTATCAAAGTTTAGCAGTAAAGCAACTAACTAAATAAGCAGAATTATTCAATCATATATAAAATACTAACACTATATATATTAATACTTTTTATCTCATAGCTACAAACTATTACTCTTGATAATGCAAGTTCAAATGATGTTGCAATTCGTGAATTAGCAGATCATATTTTCCAAAATTTTTATAGTAATATGAGTGAGGAATTTTTTCATAACTGCTGCTTTGCTCATATCTTGAATCTAATCGTGAAAGATGGTCTAAAAAAATCTCAGCAATAATCTACAAGATAGTTATACATTATTTAAATTTAATATGTGATAATTTTTTAATTATTTTTTTTGAATTTATTTAGATTCGTAGTTGTATTAAAACACTACAAACAACCCCGAAGTGACATTAAATCTATTTAGATCTTTGTGAATATGAATCTGAAAGTCCTGTAATTCCACTATTAGATTGCGATACTCGTTAGAATTCTACATATAAAATGTTACAATCAGCAATAAAAATGAAAAATGTGATTATTAGAATGAAAGATTATAACAAAACCTTTCTCGATATATCGGATAAAGAGGAATGGAAAAAGGCAGATAACATTTGTACTATTTTAAAACCATTTTATGACTGTATGATATTTATTAATTAATCAGTTTTAAAAAATTTATTATATCATATTTTAGTAGTAAATTCACTATATCATAAATCTTAGATTAATCTTCACTAAGTATTAATTTAATTTTATAAAAATAGATACTCTTAAAACATCAGCAAATTCCTATCCGACTCTTAATAATGCCTTTGCCTCTATCTTGAATATTCATACTCATCTTCTTAGCATAAGATCTCATACTGAAGATTTTATTCGTAACGTTTGTGAACCTATGATAGAAAAGTTTAATAAGTATTAGGAAGATGGTAGCTCTCTATATATGGTTGCATGTATTTTTGACCCTCGCTACAAGTTGCAATTCATCTCATTCTATTATCATGAAAAGGAAAAGCTAGAATTGGATAATCTCAATGATAAACTACAAAATATAAGAATAAAGTATGTATATTTATTAATTTATTATATAATTATTGTCGTAGCTGATGCTAAGTTTTGGGCTCAATATAAGTTTACTAAACCTACTAAAATCTATTTATACTCTTACAAACAATTCTAATTATGAATTCTAAATCCTAAAAAAAAAAACTAGAAAAAATGTATTCCAAAATTTTTAAATTTCAGTCATGACAATTATTTATAACTTTGTTACTAACTTAATTATA